CCTCTGCCTCTCAGGATCTGTGTGACAGTGCACTGGACAGACGGTCCAGCGTCCCCTTCCCATCTCAAGGTCTTTATCTCTGCTTCCTTGCAAAAACCATCCCAGAGCTTTATTCACAGACTGCAGAAAGGTCACAGAGATCTCTTTAGGGCATCATTGTTCAGCCTGCCACAGAGGGTGACTTGAAACTCACCTCCATTTGGACACTATGAGAATCCCACATGCATACATGCGCCCATAGCCCTTCGAGGTCTCCATCCGTCTTTATCCAGATCTCATCTTCTGATCCCTGTGACACCCCAAATTCACTCATCTACCACCTGTGGAAAGCAGACTAGTGCTTCAGAGACATCTCCATCCTCACTCCCAGAGCATGGGCATGCTCAGTGTCCAGAGAACTCTGGGGGCAGGTAGGCAGGCTCATCTCTTCCAAAGCCCCCGGTTCTAGGCCACCCTGAGCTCTGACTCTGAAATGGGTGAGAGAAACCCAGCAAACAGCTAGAAGGTAAAGTCCTTCCAACAGAAGCTACCTTTGCTTCTTACAGCATATGCCAGCCGAGGAAGGAGAAGCCAGAGCCCATCCATAGAGACAGATGTGGATCAGAAACTCCAGTTAGCTGCCTCAGTTTCCTCAGGCAATTTGGCTGGATGTGGTAAGCCCCACTTTAATGATTTTTACCTCCTTTCATTCTCAGCCATGTTTCAGTATAGCCCTGGTTAGATGGAGCGTTGGGGACATTGGCTGCTTCTATCTGCTACCTGCTGTCACTTCTCTGTCGTTTGCTATGTGTTTAATGAAGTCACTCTCCAGACAGGAACAGAACACTTGGTCACCTGATGGTAGAGAGCAAAAGCTGGAGGCTTAGGATCTATAGGTTCAATAGACTGTAGTGAAGAAGGAGTGTGTGTGTGTGTGTGTGTGTGTGTGTGTGTGTGTGTGTGTGTGTGTGTGTGTGTAGGGGGGTCAGGGGAGCTTTGCTGGGTCCTTACCCATGAGAAGGATGAAGAAGTTGTTCAGATGACCTTTCCCATTGTTGGCTTCTGAGCTGGGAGAGGCCACAGCAGGTGTGCAGGCATCTATACAAGCTAGGAAAGAACATATAGGAACCCTCACCAGCGCCTTGAAAGTACTGCTGTGTCTTGCTCTCAATCCATGACTCAACTCTAAACTAAGGAAGAAGGGTTAACCCGGTTAGCATCACTCATTCTAGCATCAGTAGGAAAGAGCCTGGCATGCCCACTCACATACCTGGCCAATAAACATCTGAGCTGGAAGCCTTGCAGCTACCAGCACCATGTCTCATCCTCAGCCGGTCCCTTCAGCATCTGCCAAGCCTTCAGCAGGAGCTCCTCTACCTTCTTATGGAGTCCCTACCCTTCTCCCCCTATAGGAACAAGCCAGCCCATGACTCACCTGTGCCCTGGCCTATCCCTATCCAAGCCCTTCTCTGTATCCAGTGGGGGAGCCATCAAAACTGAGCAGTCAAAGCCCTTCTTGCCCACAGTCCTGTGGTTGCAGCCTGAAGGCCATTCCTAACCCATTGGCTCTCTGCCTTGTTTCCGGCTGCTATTCACAGACTCTCTCTCTCTCTCTCTCTCTCTCTCTCTCTCTCTCTCTCTCTCTCTCTCTCTCTCTCACACACACACACACACACATACACACACATGCACATATGCACGAATGCATGCACACACACACACACACATACACACACATGCACATATGCACGAATGCATGCACACACACACACACGCACACGCACACATGTACGAATGGATGCACACATACTCTTGTGCACACACATACACGCACATCCCCATACACACATACATACACATACATGTGCACATGCGCACATACACATGCATGAGCATACACACAGACACACATGTGCTCTCACACTCTTGTGGACACACACACATCCCCATACACACATCCCCACACTGTCCCCATACATACATACACACTCAAGCACGTGCATGCTTTCGCGCACACACACACACACACCATCTCAGAGCCTTTCAGAAGACCCAAGGCTAATGACTGACACTACAATCAGAAAGGCCTGACATACCAGTGGCCCTCTGGTCCAGGATCATAACCCTTCACCCCTAGGCTGCAAGTGTGGGCCAGAGAGCAAGCACCTCTGATTGAAGTCCCAAGGTCATGAAAGTTGAAGAAGCCCAACTTCACTGACAGCATCCTGGGGCTGTGTCTCATAGCGCTAGCAATGGTGGCCATGCTCCAGCCTCACCCACTAGACTGAGGAAGCTGGAAATTTCCACCTTGGGAGATCCTCCTGCTGCAGCAGATAGGATTCTACTTCCCACTCCCATCCCTGCCCCAGACCCATGGGCTAACTCCTGCCTGTCCCTGGCCCTCTGTACCTCTATCACTACTTGCTGCTCACCCAGGGAGCCAGTGTGCGGTAATCCATAACCTATGCTTTTCCTACCTGTCCTGCCTTTGTGAAAGAGACCTCTCTCTCTCTCTCCAGCCAGACAAGGCCAAAGAAGCCTTGGCAGCCAGGCCAGCATAGCACAGCAGTGGGAGGAACCGGAAAACAGCCAAGGGCCGATAACACAAAGGTCGCTGCAACATTCACTGTGTGTCCAGAGAGGCTGCTACTACAGAGCCCCCCAGCCTCAGCCCCAGGAAGGAAAACAGCAACACCCCTTCTCCAGTATCCACTGCCTGAGGCCATACGGAATCTTTATCCTGCAAAAGGCCAGTGACTTACTGGTCCATGTCGCTCAGTTGGTGTTAAGACCGCGGTGTTAAGCAGAGTTAAGAGCACGAGCAGACAGTCTGGTGCGTGAGTCCGGTCATTCCCACCTTCAGAAGAGAGGCCATGGTTGTTGCTACTGAGTCATCTGCGTGAACCAAGCCTGAGCCTCCTCATCCTTGACAGAGTCATGGCCCACAGTGGAAAGCAGCCAGCTATAGGCAGACTTGAGATAGCAAGGCTAGCTTCCCTCCCCCCAATTCCCTGGAAGAGTGACCAAATGATCTGAGGACCCAGAATCACAGTGTCCCTGGAGTAAGCTTTATCTCTCCTGGTAGAAACCAGGCTGGGGGTGCAGAAGATGTGAGTACAGGGGTTTGCAACTCGACCATCTTTATCTCAGGCCAGACAGATAGCAAGGACTGAGCTATGACTGCCTCCCCCTTTGACAGAAATTGCAACAACCCTGAAGACGGGCCACTGGCTCCAGATTTGGGAGCTACCATTTCCCAGGGCCGACACGCCTACATCTGTAACTTGGGCCCTATACTCCCAGGGCAGGATGCCATATAAGGCATGAGGCCTTGGGAAGACTAGGAACCATCCATCTCCAGCCCAAAGCTCTACTGTAAAGCAGAAGCAGGGACTGGACTCTGCCATCACCCCACATCTCCACAGCCTCACACATCTGCTCTCCCCTTAATTCCACCATGAGACTTTTTCCATGAGGTTCGCAGTTCCGAAGCTGGCCTGGTGTGAACAAATTGTGCCAAGACGGGCAGGAATAGTGGAGCTGACCCATGTACAGGCATGGCCTACAGTCCACTGGTGTCCTGGGAAATGATACCTCCCAAATCTGGAGCCAGTGGCCTATCTTCAGGATTGTTGCAATTTCTGTCAAAGGGGGAGGCAGTCATAGCTCAACCCTTGCTATCTGTCTGGCTCTGTGGTTCAGAACGAGCGCCCCGATAGACAACACAGACCAACAATAACTGTGCTCTGCATACGGGGGTAGGCAGCCCCTTCAGAAGGACTTCTGTGGGGAGAAGCATGACCTACAGGAGCTGCGCTGGGCCTCCCTCTTGATCAAGCACTGCTGACTGAAACCTACCAGGTCCATGCCGGACTGTGTCCCACAGCCATTCTGCAGATCATCTTTGCTTCTTTCTTCGTGGACCCAGGAGGCTGCCAAGTGAGTAAACCAGCTCTGGGGACCAGATCTGAGTGAACTTCCCTCTTGGGATCAAGATTTCCAGTGACAGGTGCAGGCAAAGCGAGGAGTCAAGTGGCAGCAGTACGAAGCCAGTCTGAGCCGAGAGCATACAAGTCACCGTGGATGCTCTCGAGGGTGGCCACGATTCCCTCGCACAAGGTCTGAGGGGCTTCCCGAAGTGGGAACCACCTCGGATAAACCACAGCAGCTGGTAAAAACAGAACGAAATGTGTGCACTGGGAGTTCAGGAGAAGATCAGTCTCAACCCAGGTACCTGGTACTCCTCGGCTTTGGGAAGCTAGGCCTGACCTAGGGTCGCAATAGCCCATCCCGTGTCCAAAGCCAGGGCATCTTTGGGAGGAGCAGGCAAGTGACCAGTTCAAAGCTAGATGCTGCAAGACTGGCCTCTGGCCACAAGAAAGTGCTTCCCAGAATCAGGGGCTGCTCCAGGGGCAGCATGGGCCTGAATCAGCAAACCACAGTCAGACTTCCCTGCATAAGCGTGTCCCATTAGGCTGACCTGCCCAGTAGCTGGCAGCTGGCAAATGACTCGAAGCCTACTGGGTTCACCTTAGTCTAGGCCTGCTCATGGTAGGGTCTGCACTGTTCAGCTAAGGCTTTCGGGGTCTAGATCAACCCTGCTTCACCCCGAAGCTCCCCCTAACCTTATCGACACACCACCATCACTGCTGCTACCACTGAGAGCCAGATGCAACTGAGCTGTGCAGATCCTACATCTCTCATGAACAAGGCCTGGTAGGGAGGGGCATGAGGCCAGTGCCTGCTCCTGCTCCTGGGTCCCTGGCCAGGGATGTGTAGTAAAGCCAGCAGCCTAGTTGGGAGCCTTCCTGAGAACACTCCCTCTCACCTAAGTCAGGAATGTTTGGTATCTGGAGAACTTCCAGACTATTCCTGGCTGGAGCATGGGGATTAGGAACACCAGCTTGTCCAGGGACACCCCCCCCCTCCGCCTTTCTGGCCTGCAGGCTGCCCTCCCAGGGAGGTTAGTGAGTTAGGGAGGGAGTGTCCACAGCTTCCTGTTTCCTTTCCAGCTGGGAAGAGTGACAGCATACAGCAGCCTCAGCCTTCTCTGCGCCCCTCTGGAGGCCTGTGGTCAAGCTGCTGAGGGGCCTGGGACTAGACTCTATGGGAGGGGCACTAGGCCCTGTGTACAGCAGCCCCCCTGTGGATCCAGCTGACTAGAGGCCAACAGGCTGCCAGCCTTCAAGGCTACTGAGGCCACTGCCCCCACATCGCTGTAATGGAAACTTCTCAGCTGCTCTGTGTGCACCAGCTCGGGTTCCTGCCCCATGTGGGGCTCTAAGAGGCAGCAGATCGCAGGACAAGGCAGGTGGGCAAGCGCTTGCAGGACACAGGAGCCAGGTGGGGCTGGTCTTAGTGTGTGTGTGTGAAAGTGAGTGTGAGAGAGTGTGTGTTCATGTGCATGGACCCAGGTGTCTGTGTGTGCATGTGCACATAAGGGAAGCCCCATAGAGACGCTGGCTTCCCTCAAGGGTGTCTCCAGAAAAGGTGGTTTTGCAGCAAGACAGTCAAGAAATCCAGTACTGATTAGACCTGGGGACACCCTGACCCTCCAGGTCCCCAGCATAGAACAAATGGGAGGAGTGTGCAAGGGGCAGCCATGGCTGCCAAGCACAGTGCCAGCCACTGGCCAGAGTTGAGGAAGGAAGGAGCTTCCCTGTGTGAGGCTTGTAGGTGCTGAAATTACTCATGTGCCAGCTGTTGCCCTTGGCACACTGCCCACCCCCAGAGACTTCCCAAGACACATCATAGACCAGACGATGGAGGTACGTGAGGAGGGAAATGGTAGGATCAAAGGAATAACCAGGATGGTGAACAGGATGTGGCACTGGGCGGGGGAGGGGGGCCCTTGGACAGACCCTGGAAGACAGAATAGAAGCTAGACTCTAGAGGACCTTCGGGCTGGGGCTTTGGTGAGATGTGGGATCTAATAAAGAAGCAGGAGTTCGGGAGTCCCCAGTTCAGGCCACCAGCGCTGACTTCCAGACAGAGCCCTCTCTCTGGGGCTGTCTGTGCTCCAGTTGTCCGTGTGCACCATGCTCACCTAACTGGACTTGAGGGTGCAATATCCAAGCTTGGCTCTGACACCTGCCTGGTGGCATTCTTTACCTGGGTCGTTACCCCTGGACTTGAAGAACTAGGCCTTGACACTAAGGGGGGGGGGAGTCGGGGGACAACTGCTGGGCTGTTTCCCTGAGTGAAGGACACAGTCCTAGATGCCAGCCCCTCCCTAACCAGCTTTGTGTAGCCATGACCCTCCACAGGCCCCAAGCTCCTGGGACTATTTTCCGCCCTTTATCACGTATCTGTCACGAGCCAGCCTCTGAGCTGGCACTCGAGTTACGGCCTGTCCCTGCTGGGGCCAAGGCCTCTGCTCTGGGGCTAGCGGGAGGGGATACCAGCAGGCTTGCCTGTGTCCACTATGTGAGCCAGAGATGCATCTCTCTGGACACTTGATGGGAGCGTAAAAGCCAGAGAGCTCTCTCTACTTGATGAGGCCACAGAACTAAAGATCCAAGACAGATACAAAACACATACACACATGCACACACACGCACACACACATACACACACACACACACATACACATACACACACACGCACACACAAACATTCACACACACCACACAGATAAACACACCACAGACTCACACACTCACACATACACACTGCACACACACCAAATGTTCACCCATTTACACTTGCATACCACGTACACACACCACACACTCACAATACATTCATACATGTATTCATATCACACATACACACCACACATATGTATACACCACAAACACATACACACTCACATACACACACTCACATACACACACTCACATACACATATTCACACATTCACATACATACCACACATGTACACATGTACAGCACATACACACACTACACACACATTCATACCCAACACATACATTCACATATACCACAGACACTCACATATACACACCACACACATTCACACACACATGCACACACCACACACATTCACACACACCACACACACCTCACACATTCACACACACATGCACACACCACACACATTCATACACACCACACACACCTCACACATTCACACACCCACACACACACAGAGTTCAGGAACATCCATGCAAGTACAAACGTACCTGTATGTACACAGACATGCTAATAGACACAAGCCACATAGTTTTATTTACATGCACACATGGGCTCTCCACAGGTCCATACTCACATGATACATGCTCACACAAACATGGGTCCTCACATGTCATACAATCCCATGTATGCCCATTCACACAGATGTGCATAGCTATATACATATATACATATATGTGTGTGTGTGTATATATATATA